TTTCCATCCACGACTATTGTTTTAGTACCAATTTTCTTTCACGACTATTATTTTAGTACCAAAATTCATCACATCGGTCACCCCTCCATTTAAGACATGTCGAAATCTAAACATTTTAAGGGCATTTTTGTCCCTTTCAACTTAAGATTCCAATTTGAGCATGAATAACGGGATTTAAGCCCTCAGATCGATCCCAATTCGCAGTTACCCCTCCTCATCCTCGCAAATTATGCTATGCAACCGTGTGCACCATGTATGTTGTTCATTCATTGTGGATATTTAATTAGTTCATTCATTGTGGATATTTAGTTCATTCATTGTGGATATATAAATTCAAATTATGCACAAAAAAATGTTATTGCCGGGAAGTTTTTTTTAAGTGGGACGCGTATTTTTAATCAAAACGACGTCGTTTTACATGGTGCACACGGTTACACAGCATAACTATTGCCTCATCCTACCTTAATTTGAGGAGAAGAACTACGAATTGGGATAGATCTGATCTTAGGGTTTAAATCTTTTTATTCATACTCAAATTGTTATCTTAATTTGAAAAGGATGAAAATACCTTAATAATTTCATATTTTGACATGTCTTAAACGAAGGGTGATCGATATGATAAATTTTGGCACTAAAATAATAATCGTGGATGAAAATTAGTACTAAAATAATAATCGTGCAGTGGATGAAAATTAGTACTAAAACAATAGTCGTGGAGGAAAATTGGTAGGATTAAAACATTTGGACCAAAATTGGTATTTCCTCAAAAAAATATTGTGGTTTACTTCTCACGGCTCACGCCATGCACCATTGTAAAGTACGGGTCGGTTTCACAATTTAACTATTTGGAAGGGGAAAATCTAACAATTTTAAAAGATTTGCCAGGCCGAAAACGTGAAGGATTAGTCAAGCTTCTTCAAAAAAAGTACACGTGGCACTCCAGAAATCAATATACGTTCTTCTTTACAGTCATATGTCTTTGTCCCCTTGTGCGTGCCATTCCATCGCTCTATACTCCACCGGAAATCCCTCACAAATCTCTCTCGCTTTCACATTTTCAGTACGCCCCAAGTAATAATTTGCTTTCTCCGTGCCGGAAAATCCACCGGATGGCGACGTCGTCGTCGTCGTTGTCGATAACCGACGAACATCCCGACGCTAATAAGAAGCTCAAGATCACCGTCGCCGCCGGAGACCAGCCGTCGTCTCAAACTCCGCTCCTCATGCCCCGTCGTGTATCACTCAACCCCGCCGATTGTGACTTGGGTATGAATCTATCTTATCTTGAAACTTTAACCGATCTTGCCAACTTGTATGTCGTGTATATATATTATAACTTTGTGATGATGTTTCAGATTTCTGTATTGAGTTCAATGGACTGCAAGGCTCAGGCCGGTATGAAAAGGAGTTCGCTTATTGCTGGTCTGGGGCTCGAGCGGATGTGGGGATCAGTGGGGGGAAGTATTGTTTTGGCTGCAAAATCATCGCATATCAGCCTGCAAATATTGGGGAAGATGACATCTCAGAAGACCCCAAGAATGTATGTCGGGTAGGGGTGTCAAGGGGGGACGATGGCAACAGTAGTAGTCTTGGAAGCCTGGGGGAGACGATGAACAGTTTTTGCATTCAAAGCAGCAGAGAGTTTTGCAGTGGAGGAAGGTTTTGTGGCTATGGTGAACGGTTCGAAATCGGGGATACGATAGTTTGTTGTGTGGATCTTGAGGCTAAACCAGCGTCCATTGGGTTCTCCAGAAATGGGAGATGGATGGGAATGGCAAGCCAGTTTGATGGAGGGATTAAGGAGGAGCTGCAATTGTTGCAATGGCAGTCTGCATATTTCCCTCATGTTCTGCTCAAGAATGTGGTTGTTCTTTTGCAGTTCTGCAAGGAAGATGGACTGGAGCCTGTTGAAGGCTACAAACCCTGGGCATCTTCTGTGAAAGATGGGAAAGCTTTTCCAGGCCCTATTTTATCTCCAGATGTTCATGGCTGTGACCTTATAATGATGGTTGGTTTGCCTGGTTCAGGGAAGACAACCTGGGCACAGAAATGGGCCGAGGACCACCCGGAAAAACGATACATCTTGCTTGGAGAAAACCATGCTTTTCATAAAATGAAGGTAAGTTCCATTCTTAGCTTCTTGTGGAGTAACAATAATGACAGAAAGTAAAGAAGACAAGATTTACTTGGTTCGGAAATCATCATCTGACAAGAAATTATATTCACAGGTGCCTTCCCTCCTGGATAAGTGTAACTATGATGAACTGTTTGAGTGCTGGAATGGGCGTGCTGCTAAAGTCTTCAGTGCTCTTGTGTCCAGAGCTTCAAAGCTGCCTCGAAACTTCATCGTTGATCACACGAATGTCCACAAAGGTCTCCGTCGCCACAAGCTAAAGCCATTTGCAAACTACCACAAAGTATATATTGCCATGACTTCTGTCATAAATATTGTTTGGTTATTGCCATGACTTCTAATGAAGCATATACTGTCTGTGCTTTGAATTAGGTTGCTGTTGTGGTTTTCCCAGCACTAGAAGAGTTCAAGTCGCGTGTTGTTAAGAGATACAAAGAACTGGGAAGGGAAATTCCTGCTGGAATCATAAATGAGGCTTTAGGTATCACCAGACTTCATATAATTTCGTCGTTTTACATCTTTACTGTTCGGTTATGACTCGTTTTGGCTAATTACTTGGCAGCCAACTTTGTTTTGCCAATGAGCAAAGACATGCATGGAACAGATGAGCACTTTGATGAGGTAAAATGATAGGTGTTCATAACAACAGTTAGTTTCTGCATTTATTTTTGCTCTTATCTGTCTATCCATGTTGTGTTTTAAGGTTTGGTTTCCGGAACTTGGAAGAGCAGAGTCAGAGAAGAAGTTGGATGAGATGAAAGCAAATATGAACTTTTTTGCAGTTCTGGGAGAACAGACACAGAGTTCAAGCACTCCTAGGCCAGCAGGTTCTGCAGAGAAGTTGCAGGAAATGGTTTAGATTCTTAGCTTACTGAAACAACTCTTCTCTTTTAGATTCAACATTGAACTAATATGGTAGTATTTCCCCAGTGATCTGATAAATGTTTTATAGTTACTGGATCTCAAACTAGCCTAATATTTACCATATCATTCAAGAATCTAATAGAGCAGGCCAAACCGGAAATTCTAGATTTATATTTATCAGCATAATTAACTCTCTTAAATAACATTTAATGTTGTGCATGGAAACGCCGCAGCTACATATATAGCAGGCAAGACACCACAAAGAATTCATTAGCCTATAATGATTTTTGCACATTTTTACTTGATATTTTTGAATTCTACTAAGTATAAATAGGAGTTCAAAACACAAACTCTAAGAAATGGAGGGGTATACCCGAGGTCAGTAACTGACCCTAACAATGTTCTCATCACCCAAAACTCCCAGCTCATCTTGTCGAAGGAGCTTCTGGATGTCAGCAGGGGGGTTCACAAACCACTCTAACGTATTGGTATCCTTGCTGGCTCTTTTAGCTAAAGCATCCGCCACTTTATTTTGTTCTCTAGGCACGTAATTCATCCGGATCTCCCAGCGTCTTTTCTTTGCGTCTCTACACCTCTCAATAAGGTTGCATGCAGGCCCTTCGTATTCTTCCCCTACGTTCAACATTTGGATAACTTTTGAGCAATCTGACTCTATAATCACCTTCTTGTATCCTTTCTCCCACGCTTTCTCAATGGCATGGTGAATAGCCCAAACTTCAACTTCCATAGCACGGCACGAACCAATTTGTTTGGAGAACGCTCCTATGAACACTGCATTCTCATCTCTGAACACACCTCCGCATGTGGCTTGATTGTGCGCTCTTTTACACCCATCCGTGTTGACCTTGATCCAGCCTGCACTCGGTGGTTTCCATGGTTGCGTTCTTCTCTCTTCACGACACCTTCTGTTCTCAATTCCCAAGCTTCTCGACCTTTTTTATCTCTTTGAATTGGCGATGTAACCACTCCACTTTGTCCTCGACCGAGAGATGGATGCCATTGAAAATATGGTTGTTTCTATCTCTTATAGTTTATTAGTAGCTTAAAATAAGTTATAAGCTCCTAAATAAGCTTTGCCAAATAGAGTCAAAGTAAAGATTGTAGGGAAAGTGTTTTGCTCTCAACTCTCGCGTGTATATTTCAGATTATTCAACCCCTTTTACAGTGCCTTCTCATGCTTTTTATACAAGCTCGGATGACTATTTCTACTAAGTATAAATAGGGGTTCAAAATACAAACTCTGAATTCAAAAAAAAAAAAAAAAAAGGCAATTGCCCGTTGGTGACCACCCTCAATGTGTACTGCACGTTCCCAGCTTGTGCACAAAACGTGTACTAACTTTGTTTTTTTTTTTTTTTTTTTTTTTTTTAGATGGACTGACACCCAAAAAAAAAGAAAAATGAATAAGGTTCAAATTGGCCACTAAACGTAACCTGAAAATGCAATTAGGCCACTGAACGAAAAAAAGTGCAATTAGTTGATCAGACTTCTCATTTTTTATTTAAAATTTCAACAATAAAAATATATTTTAACATATATCGTAATTGATTAATTATTACATCACAACTCGTTTTATTTTGATTGTAGTAATTTGACTATAGTCTATAGCGCAAGGTCAGAACTAATAAACATTTTTTATTAAAGCATAAATACGGTCTGATTTGACTTAACCTAAATTATGGGAGACCGGAAGATCCAAGCCGCCTGTTGGGGCGACCGGTCGGTGATTTTAATATTCCCGGCTGCTTCGATGTTTTCTCTGGCTGTACAACATTCTTAGCGTCACGTACACCCCTCTGGTCCAAACTGTAAAGCGTTCTTCGACGGCCATGTGACAGCCTAACTAACGGCACGAGGCTGCTTTTCGCGGCTCCACAATGGAATCACACCATGACGCGCGTGGTCAACACAACCGCGACACGTGTCCGATTCCTGGGCCCCAGCTGTGCCAGCAAGGATGAATGGGAAGAAGGTTCGTGATGCCAACTGCCCCAACTTCTTGGCGGTGAGAAACCGAGAATAAGCACGCCTCATTTTTTGTCGCTGTGTAGCCGTTTTGACTCGCCATTGATTCGCTTTCGTACTTTCTTCTTAGAGGTAATTTTCATCAGAGCTTCCTTCTCGCTTAGCGTATGTATTTTGAGTTTATTGTGTAGATTTTGTTCTGCGTTGATAGGTGATCTGAAGTTGGGGAGAGAGATTTCGTTTTGTGTTGTGGTGGAGATCAGCTTTCGAAGTGAAAAAAAATGCAGAGATTTGCTCGAACCTTCCGTGAAAATCCTTCGCTTTCTAAGCTTCTAATTGTTTTCACTGTCAGGTAACTTTCGTTTTCGCTCTGTGATCTCGAAGTGTTGGTGTGGAAGAATCGATTCTGATCATGAACATACTTTTGGTTTTTGGCCTGAGTATCTATTGAATTGATTGAATCTGTTCTGTTTCTGAATTTTGTTAATCTTTACTTGCCATAGGAAGATCTGGTTTGGTAGTAGATCAGTTGTTCAGCATATGACCTTGCTCTGTTGTTTGTAACCTTTGTATTTGGTGATTTTGGTCTAACTCTGCATTATAGTGTACGTGTGTTCCAATTTTAAGTTTATGCTTTGGGTTCAAGCTTTGCTCCCCTGTGAATTTAATGATATGATTTGGGAGAAGAAGATTTGGTTAAACTCTTTAATATGTAGAAAGTTGTACCAAACAAACAAAATCCTTATATGATGGCTTCATTTTACAATGAAGGGAACAGTTTTGTTTCTTAGAAAATAGTCTTGATGAACTCTAGTGAACTAGTTCCTACTTTTAGACTTGTATGAGTCTTCTTTGCTCCTGGAGTACAGGTAGATAGTCAGATGTACTCCCTTTTCTTTCCTACACTTACGGTGATATGAATATATGATCTCTCAATATCGCTCTCCCTCCCACCTTTTTTATTCAAATTTATTTATGTTTAAATGTATGCCATTTTCCTTGGATGGGCAGTGGTGGAAGCCTTGTGGCATACTCTGAGGCAACAAAGCCACATGAGAGCAATAACCTTGGGGATTTGACCGAGGTCAATCACCAGAAAAAGAGAGTGGTAGTACTTGGAACTGGTTGGGCTGGAACTAGTTTCTTGAAGAACCTGAAAGATCCCTCATATGATGTTCAGGTGATATCACCGCGTAATTACTTTGCATTTACTCCCTTGCTGCCAAGTGTAACATGTGGCACCGTTGAAGGTCGCAGCATTGTTGAACCAATTCGTAACATTATCAGAAAGGTGAATAGAGCAGTTAAATTTGCAAGCTGTAAATCTTGTGATTAAACATGCAAATGTATATATTGTTTTTTTTTTCCCCTGAAAGTGTAGTATTTAAGTAAAATCCCATCTCAGAGTACTAATCATAAAACAAAAACTGAATCTGCAGTTGCTCTACTGAAGTTGACTTGAACAATTTTCTGCAGAAAAATGTAGATATGCAGTACTGTGAGGCTGAATGTATCAAAATTGATGCAAAGAACAAAAAAGTATACTGTCGATCTAATTTGAATGGGAAGGAAGAATTTGCTGTAGATTATGACTACCTTGTGATTGCCATTGGAGCTCGTGTAAATACATTCAACATTCCTGGTGTGGAAGAAAATACATTTTTCTTGAAGGTAATATCAAGAATACTTTTCCTGTGTTGTGGACCTGCCACTAGCATGTCTCTCTGTCCCCGTCATCCCCACCCCCCAATGTTATTATTAACCTCTGTGATTAAGAATATTTAGTCAACTCCCTTCTATGATTAAAAAAGACTACAACTTATGCAGGAAGTGGAGGATGCTCAGAGAATCCGTAGGACTGTTATTGACTGCTTTGAGAAAGCCAGTCTGCCTTACCTCACTGATGAAGAGAGGAAAAGAATTCTTCATTTTGTTATTGTTGGTGGTGGTCCAACTGGTGTGGAATTTGCAGCTCAACTCCATGATTTTGTCAGTGAAGATGTTGTTAGGTTATATCCTAAGGTGAAGGATTTTGTGAAGATTACACTAGTTGAGGCAACAGATCATATTTTGAACATGTAAGAATCCATTCCCCTTTTTATTGGTAACTTCACGGTATGCTCAACCATACTTCTAAGAGGAAACTGCATATGATGCTTTACCTACTACTATTGCTTTCTTAGTCCAAGAAGTCAGAATGCTGTATTTCAACTTCAGTATTGTAGTCAAGCTGCTTTCCAAGCCTTTCTGCTATACTGAAATGAAAAATCTAAGTTGTATCAGTTGAGGCTTTCATTCTTTTCATTGTTCTTCTAATTGTTATCTATCTTGGCTGGCTTTTGTTGCTGTTCGTCCTTTTATGGTCTTGCTTGCTTCTGGTAATGCAAAGCCCTTTGCTAGGCATGTAAATCATGCTATATGAGTGTAACTTGATTGTTGTCAATAAGAAAGATGTGATACGGTAATTGCTTAACGATATCATCATTTTAAGTTGGCCTCAATATTATAAACCCCCCAAAAAGAGAAGTAATGGATCCATATTTATCTTGCTCACTTTGACCTTATCTTTCATTAATTGGGCTATAGTTCTTATTTTTACTTCTTTCTACTGAACCTTATAGATTTGACAAATGAACTAATGATGGATCCATATTTTATCTTATTCACTATAACTATTTGTTTTACAGGTTTGACAAAAGAATTACGGCTTTTGCTGAAGAAAAGTTTGGGAGAGATGGTATTGATGTTAAAACAGGCTCAATGGTTGTTAAAGTATCAGATAAGGAAATTTCTACAAAAGATGTTAAAAGTGGAGATATAACTTCTACACCTTATGGAATGGTTGTTTGGTCAACTGGCATTGGGACTCGTCCTGTAGTAACAAATTTTATGAAGGAAATTGGTCAGGTATAGATATAATTATATTTATGTTTTGTACATATTATTTTAGTTAAATCAATGTTGGCAAATTTACTGTCCCGGATTGCTTTCTCATGTTAAATTTGTCGAAATTTCTTGTGCTATTGTTTCTATTGGCGATATGTTACATGCACTTACCACCATCAATACAACAAATTCACCTGTTATATAGGGCCAAAGACGTGTATTAGCAACTGATGAGTGGCTGAGAGTTGAAGGATCTGACACCGTATATGCAATTGGGGACACTGCCACAATCAATCAGCGCAAAGTTATGGTAGGTATACCTTCTGTATGATCAGCCCTATGTGGAAAAGACAAGATACATGCACTCACACATTTGCACAACTGTTTAAGCATTTCTGCATATAATCATAATTTTCATAATATCGTGCTTAAATTAGATATATGCATGAAGAAGAAGGTGCTTCTCACTTCTCATGTTCTTGACCTGCTATATATTAGCAGTGTCTTATTTTGCTCATTTTCTGACTGGGAGGTTAGCAACAGGGATTTGTCAGCCCTGAAGAGTTTGAAAAGAATCATATAATGAATAACTTAATTTCCTTGTACACTACTGAAGCAATCAGTACTCTAATCCAAATTCGACTTGGCATTTACAATAATTGCATGTTTACTGAATAATGGATCTGTGCATATACCAAATTTAGTAGGACTTGTCTTTGAATAATGATTTGTTTGTGTTTCAATTTTTCCAGGAGGATATTGCAGTTATATTTCAGAAGGCAGACAAGGACAATTCTGGAACACTAACAGTAAAAGAATTTCAAGAAGTCCTCAATGATATATGTGAAAGATACCCACAAGTAGAGCTCTACTTAAAAAACAACCATATCAGTGGCCTGGTCGATTTATTGAAAGAAGCAAAAGGGGATGATGTTAAAGAATCTGTTGAGGTTGATATTGAAGAATTTAAATCAGCTCTCTCCAAAGCGGATTCTCAGATGAAGAATCTTCCTGCTACAGCTCAGGTTTATGCAGAGAACACTATAATCATGTAGTATTTCACAGACAGATCTTCAAATTTTTCTAATGTTATTACTGATGCCTTTTCAGGTTGCATCTCAACAAGGTGTCTACCTTGCTGATTGCTTTAACCGTATGGAGAAGTGCGAGAAGGATCCAGAGGGTCCTATTCGTTTTAGGGGAGAAGGACGCCATCGTTTCCGGCCCTTCAGGTATATAATTTTAATTTACCTGTTATATATTTTGTTTCCTTCGATGATGTCCTACTGAGACCATATTGGCACAAATTTGACTTCATATTTTCAAACATAAACAAAATAACCAGTGTATTATTTATTGTAGTTTAATTACATCATTACGATTTTATGGTGATAGTGTCATGTTATTAATGAACGAAAATCACTGAAAATGAAGTTGAGAACTAACTGAGACCTCAGTGAATTTCATCTTGTTTATTGATGCTGTCCTGCTTTTCTCAAGGTACAAGCATCTTGGACAATTTGCACCTCTAGGAGGAGAGCAAACAGCAGCACAACTTCCTGGAGATTGGGTTTCAATTGGCCACAGTACACAATGGCTCTGGTATTCAGTGTATGCTAGGTGAGTTATACTTCCCTTGAGACTTCATGACCTCAAATTGCTATTACTCATGAACTGGTCATTAGACCGACTTGGTTTTTTCGCATAAATGAAATGATCACTGCATACTTGAATGTTCAGCAAGCAAGTCAGTTGGCGTACAAGGGCGTTGGTGGTGACAGACTGGACAAGGCGATTCTTGTTCGGGAGGGACTCTAGCCAAATCTAATGAAGATCCTATAGTTCTGCTCAGACTTGTGGTTGAATTTGCCATTTTGGTGCCAAATTCATTGAGTACTGAAATTCTTTTCTCTTCTTTCCTTTATGCAACTGTGTCAGCATTTGGTTGGAGGTATTCATCAGCTTCAATTTTGCAGCACTCTTATCTCCACCCAATTTTTGGTTTGGAGGTTTTCTTCTAGCTTTAGGATTTCATAAAACATGAAAAAGAGAATTCAATAATAATGCCACAAAACAATCGATTCTTTTTTTGCAGTGTAACTCTTCTTGAGATTAATGATTCATTTCCTTTCGGGATGTATTACTCTCAATTTCTACTGCATTTTTTACACTAAAGATTACCACTTATAATCCTACCTGCCACTTCTTTCTTTTTTTTTTTTTTCCCTTTTTTTTTTTAATGCCAAGTGACTTACAAGCTATTACATCACTTTGCCATAGGGGTGGGGCAAAAAAAAAATCAAATAAATTTTATTGGTATTATTATTATATACACTTTTCGTCCTTAAGTTATACGATAATTGTAAGATTTATTCTTAATTGTTGGTTATGCTCACTTTCCATTTTTAAGTTATTATTGGTGTTATATTTTTCATTTTACAACGTTAGTATAGCTTATGAACGAAAAGTGAGCACGAAAAGAACAAATAATATAATGTCAATGATAGTTTAGGAGTGAAAAGTAAGTACGATCATTAATTATGGACGAATTTTATAATTATTTTATAATTTATGGACGAAAAGCTTAATTTTTTTGTTATAATATTTATAATTCTTTTTTTTTTGTAGGAATAATATTTATAATTTTAATAATATATATACCTTTTTTCCCTAAACAAAGTGAAGATTACCCAGTTAGTTTTATTCCTGAAAGTTGTGCTCTTGCAAGATAACATAGCATTGAAAAAAGAAAAAAAAAAGATTTCCTAGTTAGTTTTATTCCTGAAAGTTGTGCTCTTGTAAGATAACATAGCATTGAAGAAAAAAAAAAAAAAAAAAAAAAAGACTCAAGTTATTTTTATCTATGTAATACTTTTTCAATTTTAAAAGTCCATCTTATTTTCTCTATCAAAATTGTAATTTCTTAACTATTTTGGTTCCACTCTCAAATCATATTATAATATAATAAAAAATAATGATATAATAATAAATAAATAAATAAAAATTAAAATAAAAATAAAAAGTATAAAAGGCTGTCAAATGGCAGCTTTTTGTACCATTCGAAAGCTTTCAAATTGTCAAAGTTTTCAAGTCATGTAAGACTACAAAAATTTAAATTTAAAATTAAAATTTTACCTACACTTGCAGTGAAAAAGTTTACAGGGATAAAGATTTGTCTTTGACATTTAGGTTAAATTTATTCCTGTAAATGTGCTATTTGCAAGATGATGTTGCTAATGCCGTATCATTATTTTTTTATTATTTTTTTAATAAAATGGGTTTGTAAATTTGGATTGTATGCAAATTTGCACACAATGCAAATTTACAAATTCTGAAAAAGCTGTCGCAGCAGCTTTTGTATTTTGTATTTTTTTTAAAAATTTTGTTTTCTTTATTTTTTAATATTTTTAATATAATTAATAATGTTATTTTAATTTATTGAGCTCACTTTTAAAGTTGATTAGATTTGTAGGAATGTAGTATGAATAGTATATGATTTGCAAATGAAATGATGTAAAAATGAGACTCATTTTTTAGGGTGGAAAAGATTTGCAGAATAATGTTAGCCTAGTCTACCTTGCCGAATGACAAGGTGGTATACTTAAGTGTTCCACAAGGATTCAGGAAATACTCCGGAGGCGGAGACTATCATTGCCGATTATAAGGCCTTAATGTAGACCTTCGTCAACTTCGAGCTCAAGCATGTTCTTAGGGAGGGCAACCAGTGTGCAGACTTCCTTGCCAACATGGGTCAAGGCACACGGTGGGGTACAACAATTCTTGATCAACTGCCGGTAGATCTCAAGTTGCTCATAGTTCGTGACGCCAACAATGTCGCATTTAGTAGAATCCACTATTCCACTAATCTCGCGGGACTTTGGTCATTCCCTCTACCAAAAAAAAGGTAGTATACTTTAAAAATAAAAATAAAAATGAAACAAGAGTAAAATAAGCAAGCTAATTACAAGTAAAATTATAATTTGGTTATTCAACTTTAAAAATTACTATTGAATCCATAAAAAAAAAATATTAAATTGTGCAATTAAATCAAAAGTGACGTATTCTTCACGTTCCGATGATTAATCCATTAAAATAATCAATTCTTTAATTTGTTTTAATAATTTTAATTTTTTTTTTTTAAAAATATCCCTCTCCCTCACCTTTAATTTGCCTCCGACTTGATTTTAAATTGTTCAAGAACTCAATTACAGGTTAATGTGTAATTTGGTGACCTATTTATATATTATTTATTTTTTATTAATCACTTGTTTTATTTTAGTATTATTATTATTATTATTATTATTATTATTATTATTATTATTATTATTATTGAAAGTGAGTTGAAATAGTAGTGATGTACGGAGTATAAAACACAATAAAGTGAATTGTAAATAATATGATATGCGATTCATTTTTAAGTATTACTCACTTTAAAAAATGAGTCTAAGAAGGAATTACATGGATAAATATAGCCTAGGCGTACCAAACTATTTGCTTAAGACAATTATTAAGGAGCACCTTTTAGGCCAAATAATTAGTAATTTAAGGCTTAGACCTGGCTAGACATTATGCATGACATGATAGAAGAATTATTGTCAGAACTAACTATATAATGGCAATAAAGTACAAGCTAGATTGGTCATTAATTAAATCATACGACGGCTCAAGGTTTTGTCTAGATGTCTACTAATACACCAAAATATTGGGATACTCTATAATATAGATTTAAAAAAAAAAATGTAAATGGCCTGTGTGATTGAATTTGTGGAATATGAGTTTCATATTTTTAAAATCACAATTGAAATTCGATTCTTATTATCAAGACTCTTTCAATCGAACTTGTTACACGAATTTTCTTAGTGTGATTTGTCTTACACATTCCCCCCTCCCCCTTAATGTGATATAACAACTTATAGATTTAATCTTTAATATACAGGGATTCTTCCGAAGTTCAAGAGGTCGGAACCCTGTGCTCTCGTTGGGTTGGAAAATACTAAATATTTTTTTTAAGCCTTTCAGGTGAAAAGTCTCTTTTTGTAGAACATGTTGGCTTTTATAGTGTGTGGAGAGAATACATGACACATGTCAAATTTTCACTGTCATAGGCTACTTATTAGGTCGATTACGTCATGTGTTAGTGCTGAAATTCTTAGACATGTGTGACAACTGAGATGATGTTTCACATACTGTTTCTCTGTCTGAGTAGGGTCCACTTCCCAACGCCAAAGGTCGAGAAATGCATTACAGAAATCTAAAATGATCGATAATTGTCATATATGTTCTCTATATTACCATCAACCATAGTATGATATACTTAAAATATATATATATATATATATATATATATAAAATTAATTACATAGTGACTGCTAATCTACATGCACACTACTGCATTGCATGTGCCATTCAAGTGATACTATTCAATGGAGGAGAAGCATCAATCACACATAATAAGACACTTGGATATGAATCATATGATATGATGGAACAAACAATTTTCTTTCGAAACAAAGCTAAGTATTGGCATTTGGCAAGCTGGCCTTCAAACGGATAGCTTAATTAATCAGTATAGATAAAATAACTCTATGCACTTAATACGCACTTAGGTGTAAATTATTGTAAAAGTGCACACCAACCAAACATGCCAACAGAATAATGTGTGTCTTGTACGAATTTTGTCTTGTAATACAACGATGTTAGTACTAAATTATGGCACCTTTTAACTCTGGGCACAAACGTAACACTACCGGCGGTGACCTGCTATCCTATCCTAGCTAGCTAGCTTGTAATCTATTCGATTTAATTTGGATGAATTGACATAACTTTTTGGAGTGTTTGTTGCAGGTACGTGGAAGCCTTAAAAGTGTACCTTAAGGTAATGTGGGTGTAGTTATGTTATGAGGGTATTTGGTATATAGCTAATAGTTAATTGTATTAGTGTGTTTGACTAGTTGATAGTATTCGCTGATTGTAGAAAAATGTTTGATAAATGAACTGTTAGTTGATAGCTGATTATTTGTAAAATGACTTTCTCAAAAAAGCTGTTTTGAATCGCTTTTAAAATTTTAACTTTTTAGAGCAATAAACTGTTACAAAAAGTTAATTAATTATATTGATTGTTTAGTCAAGTCAAACAACTAACAGGGCGTTTGGTTGGAGGGATTTTAAATTTCCTTCCCACTTAATTCCCACCTAATTGCAAAGGCCATTAAATTCCGTAGTTTGGTTGGAGGGAATTGCAATTCCATGGAATTGCAATTCCCCAATTTTCATAGAATTAAAATCCCATGTCCCCCCTGGTATTTTAATTCCTGGGAAAAAAGATAGTGATGAGTCAAAATTACCCCTTCCTTTTTTACCCTAAAATTAATGTCTAACAACAATAATGGACATTTTTGACTTTATACTACTTATTTCCTTTTAATTCTCATGTATACCAAACATTGGAATTGAAATTCCCAGTAATTCTATTCCTATCAACCAAACACTGGAATTTAAATTCCCACTTTATTCCCAGTAATTCAACTCCCATGGAATTACAATTCCTTTCCCACATAATTCCCCCCCCCCCCCCCTCCAACCAAACGCCCCGTAATGGTGTGTTTGGTTCGCACTTGGGAATCGGAATCGGAATCGGAATGGATATCAAATACTTGGTAATGGTAATAAGTTTTGGTGAAAGTATTTAACATGTTTGGTAGTAGGGTGGAATAAGAATTGGTTACTAATAATAGTGCTTGAAAATGAATAAGGGAATATAATGAAACCCTTATATTATTTGGGTATGAGTTTTTCAATTGATGGGGTATTCAAAACCCATAGTAGTGTTTTAAAAATCTATCAACCAAACAATAACAATCACTTTCATACCCATTCTTATGGGCAAAACCCATCGACCAAGCACGCTCTAATAATGATCAAATAAGTCAAAATTGACTGATAAATTAACTATGTTACCAAACAAGCTAGAGTTATATAATTTTATTTAGTTTAAGTTGTGATATTATTATTATGTCAGATTTAAAGTTATGTACATGATAATTTGATTTGATTATCTCTCTCATCTTAGGTACTTGAGATACCGACTTTTTTAGCTTTTTGGGGAAAAAAAGTTATCCCTTTTGTCCCATTTGTCTGTTCTACTTATTATTCATTGAT